TTTTCAATTTCAGCTTTCAGTCGCTGCACTTCAGTTTCAAAACTCTGTTGCTTAGCTTCCAAAGCTGCAATCCGCTCAGCAGATTCTATTATTTTTGAAGAGACACAGCAACTTCAGTATCAATCTTCTTACTCAGTGCCCTCTCAACCTCCGTTACCTTAAATAAAATACTATCGAAGAGAGACTCTAGCTTGTCGGACTGCCGCTGTACTATTTCTTCAAGCTCACGAATTGCTCTTAATATTGATGGAAGAGCAGCACTCTCGTCTAGTTTTACAGTTTTGGATGTCGGAGAACTTTTGCTTAAGCATCTTTTAGCGCCAGCAGATGGAGTGGATGGCATACCTTCAAGTTTAAGTTTACACCAACAATAGAGCAGAAAGAATAATTAATTAAGCGTAGGCACAAAATCTTAGTTCAGATGAGCTTTTGTTCAGCAACAGGTAATCCGTCAGCTTGCTAGCGACCGAAAAACACCCAACTATTTATTTAATCAGGGAAAATGGTGATTTAGTGCATTTTTGACGTGGTAATTGCTCATAGAAAACAACGAAATTTAACAAAAGTTTTTTGTTCATAACTTTTAAATGGTTAATAATATTATCTCGCCCCCTCCGGATTGTTATTAGGGGGGCCGAAACGCGTCGTTTGGTACCCATCCCGACTTTTCTGCACCTTTTTTTAGGGGTTGTTACCCCACCCTAGAGAGTTACCAGAAATTCTTTTTGCGCAATACAAACCATCACATTTCAGCCTTTTTCTTTTCTGAAAGCATGTTATGTTATGTTAAGTATCTCCTGCAGCTCCACCTTCCTGCGCTTTATTTCAAGTTCTCCCTCTCGAATTTTCTTTATTTTGAGGTGGTGTCTTTTCTTCTCTTCGACACTACTAACTACATTCTCGTTAAATTTTTTAAATTTGCGATTCAACTCTTTGAGTTCATATTTTATATCTTTTATTGCGCGCACATTCCCTTTATCTTCTGAAATTTTTTTTAGGTCTTCCGCCATCGATGCCATCGCGTTGCCTTTTTCACCCATGTATTTTTTAATGCACTCATTGAAGCTAGGCTCCCGGCGACGTTTCGGTGTGCTGGCTACATTAGGAATAGGAGCAGGGGTAGTGAGAACGCTCGATCTCTCATTCTCGTCATTGCTTGATTCTTCATTTTCCTGTTGCGCAAACTCCCGCGTATTCTCTATACCTTCGACAACTTTAAAGATTCCGCAAATTTGGCCAATTTTCTCTTCAGTAGAGGTAAGCACATACTTATTGTAGGGTCCACCACCCGTAGCTCTGGCTTTAGAGTTGTTGTGTGCGATTTTTTTTTGCGGACCGTAGTTTTCCAGTCTATCCAAACCTAGATACATGTTTTGTACAAATAAATAAACGGTCATAGCAATTTTTCTTTGGTTGCTTACCTTTTTCCAACCCATGACGTCTTTTGTAGGCGGTCCATTACTGTTCAGTTCATTTACTAGCTCTCTCCATTGCATGTCACTCTTCGCCTTATCGCCTTTTATGAAGCCTTTGGCCATATCGGGGTTGCTTTCCATAAAGCGGACCATAATGGAGTCCTGCAAGCTGCTTTTGTGCTTACCCCTAAAAATGTAGAATCTTTTGTTAGTTTTCCTTAAATATTTAAACAAAATAATTATACGACTTACATTTTTTGTCTCTTGAATTTAATTTCGCACAGCCAACTGAAAGTGTTTTAAAATACATGTTTTCATGTGCATTCGATTTATAGAGCAGGCAATATTGTTCGATATCATTTCGAAAACGATTACAATTGAAAAAGTAAACCGATAAATGTGGAGCACACAAATGTGAATTCAAATGGAATTCGATATTTTTTTACTCGAATTCAAGATCCAGAGCATGCCTGAATAATACGAAATTCCACGAATGTTTAAAGCGAAACTCGAGCTCAAACAAAACACGTCTCAGTATACACATTTTGAGTTCTCAAAAGGTATTTGATCTTATTTTATTTATTTTCATTACGAATATACTATGAAAAGCAAATTTTGTTTAGAAAAAAATATGAAATTTTATATTTTTCCCCCAAATGGGAATTAATTTCTTCCCGTTTTTTCTTCTTATTCTACTGAGCTGAGGCAGTGTCAAATCGAGCTGTCATAACTGATACCACCTTGTATTATTGCATCACGGTGATTATAGTTGTGTTTAATGAAACCGAAAAAAGTGCAGAGCAGCTCAAGTTAGAGCAGAATAGAGCAGCTCTCAAAAAAACAATAGAGCAAGTTAGAGCAACTCAGATCATAAATCTCATGAAACACTTTTCAGGCAGAAATTCTCAAAACAGTTGATTGCTCGACAGTTCAATTCGTCAATTGTAAAGTGTTTGTGTGTGTTTGCTTGCTCTAAGTTACTCCATCAAAAAAGCTGGTGCAGAAAATCGTGATCTAAGTTGCTCTAGTTCCACTTAGCGCAGGCTCATGAAACGAAAAGTAGAGTAAGTTAGAGCAAGAAAAATTCTCATGAAACACAATTTTGTGAGATATCTTAACCTGGCATAACCTAGAGCAGCTCATTAAACACAACTTATAATTACTTAGGGTTAACACCGGACAATACTGTCATGACATTAGCAATACATGCGCACTTTTGACAACTAATACGTATTTCTTTGTTGTCTTAACAGCATTGTCCAAACTTTTTTTGGGTAAAAGATTGTCGTAAGCGCGATTTTGACGATTTTTAGTTAAAGATGCAGTTTTCGACTATGTTCAAACAGGCACCTTATTGGTAATTAGCCGCCATATTCCCACACCACTGACAAAACTCAGCGGCTGACTATTGCCTTTACTACTGCGCCTAATACTATGCCTCAAATTTATTTTAAGCTGTCGTATGACAATTGTCAGTTTTATTGTTATGACCTACTGAGTAAGTGACAACGGCGAAACAATGTTTATATTGTGTTTTAGGCGCAGTAATTGTGACAATAGTCATATTATGAATTTTGTCAGTGTTGTGGGAATAGGGCGGTAAGAACCTTTTTAACAATTTAGGCCTTAATTGTTACGCAATTTATCATACGAAAATTCAAATTATTAATTGCCAATTAATAATTAATTGGCAATTAATTTGTGTCAGATTCTCTATGCAACCCTGCTAGGTATGTTTAATTTTGACTTGGAGATATGTTTATTGAACAAAGAGCAAACAGCTGTTTGTTTCTGGTCCTCTTTACAGCTGATATTCCATCAGGAATTGAAAATTGAATTATAAAATTGTACCTAATTTACGGAAACTTTACCTAAAAGTAGATAGATATACCTAAAAAGTAAATAATGTAGGCGTTTTATATGTACACGTCTTTCCGCTTTGATGCTCGGATGGATTATGATTTGATTGCATGGCCAGTGTTACCTGACCGTCATTC